AATATGAAACGACCTCCCCAGGGAGGTGTGCCTGGCCCCCTCACTGTTGATCTTCGGGAGGCAGTTGAAGATAGTTTCATTTAGGATTTCATTTGACTAACTTCGTTTTTATTTACAGGTAGTCCTAATTCGAGTTTTTAAATTATGACTTTTTATGGGGTTTTTTAATCATTGTTGGGTTTTTATTGTGTTTTTTTTAAAAAATAATGCTTTATTTATATTGTAAGCTGCCTTGAGTTTTGCCAAGGGAGAAAGGTGTTTAATAAATGTTTGAAACAACCCCATAAATAAATAAATGAGATACAGGAATTTGAGAGGGTAAGTAGAAAAAACAATGCTTACCAGTAGTTTCAAACGCTGTATTTCAGTTGAGCATATTAGAATACCCCAACTTCAGAGTCAGGTGTAAGATCAAGAACAAACGGATTGAAATGTGGGAGAAACAGACAGGCCAGTAGAATGACTGAAGGGAGAAAGATGGCAGTAATGCTAGTTACTCCTGTGTAGGGATTTCCTGAACCTCCAAAGAGATTCCAGTCCACACGCTTGTTTATAATATCTCTCTTTTCCCCATTTCATCTTACAGAGAAGAGTTAAAGATGTCATATCACCGATTGTATTTGAAGCTGCCTATAGCCTTGATGACCATATCACAACAAAAGAGGAGAAGGAACTACCTTCACTCAAGCCTGTACTCCGATGGAAAAAGGGACAGAAGATGGCCCAGAGAAACCAGGTTACAAACTCATTCGTCTTTCTGTCGGGCTTCCAACAACCTGGAGGGGAAAAAATGTCCTGTCCTCTTAATAGAGGCTTAATGTGTAGAAATGGGTGTGAAGGTTCTCCTGTCACGAAGGCAAATTACTTTACTTGATGAATCTCCCCCCCAAGGTGTGATACAACATGCCCCTGCTTTGTTTAGGGCTCATCGTAAACGGAGAGCCAGTTTGGTGTAATGGTTAAGTGTGCGGACTCTAATCTGGGAGAACCGGGTTTGATTCCCCACTCCTCCACTTGCACCTGCTGATGTGACCGTGGGTCAGTCACAAGCTCTGGCACAGCCGTTCCTGAAAGAGCAGTTTGTGTCAGAGTGCTCTCAGCCCCACCCACCTCACAGGGTGTCTGTTGTGGGGAGGGGAAGGGAAAGGAGTTTGTAAGCCGCTCTGAGACTCCAAGTGAAGGGCGGGGTATAAATCCGACCTCTTCTTCTCTTCTTCTTCTTCTTGTTCCCCGGGGCTTTCCCTTTTAAGCCAGAGCAAAGAAAAGCTTCCTTGGCTTTGACTTACAGGAGAAACCGTGTGCCAGCTGCTGGAGGAGCCTCCACAGGAGATCTCTGCCCATAGTCAGTCCGCGGGGTGGGTGGTGGGTGGGCAGAGCTTAGCACTACCTTCAGAATGGCAGGGCTACGCTGTGGTATTTAACCTCCCTTTTCAGCTCTTTAACAGGCCTTTTTCTTTATCAGCTGTGCCTCAGCTGTGGGGGGTGTGTGTGCTAGGCCACAGGGGGCTTGGCAAGATTTCCCTCATATTGGGACTTTCGCGGGGGGGAAGAAGGGGGTGGGGAGGGGCAGCCCCAACAGTGAATGGGGCTGGGGCGTGTAAGTGCTGTCTTGGGGCACCTCTGTCCTCCTTGCTGCTTGTGCAGCGGAAAAGGCTTTCCCCTCCTCCATGGGGTACCTGTCCATTTTGCTGAAGAAGTTCACAGGACAAGCTTGCCAGATACCTAGGGCAGTATGACAGGACAAAAGAATATTAAAATATAAACATCCCCTGTAGTTTACAGTTTTCCAGTATATTTTCTGAGCCTCCTTCATTGTTTTTACCCTCTTATTTGTATGTACTGTACCGTGTACTTAAAAAAAATTCCTGAAGCTGGTATTTAAACAATCTGCACTATGTGTATTGCTAGGTATTCATTTGCCTCATGAGTGGAAGAACCATCTCCCATCTGTATGCCAAGAATCATGCACTTAAAAATAGCTGCTTGTAATTGGTCTGAGCAAATGGATCTTAATTGAACATCATCCTTGCAAAAGCGTACACATGTGACATTTTCCTGAAGAATGCAGCATTGGCCTGTGGGTTTTTTCCCCTCATTAAAGTGTCAGTGATTTTGTAAACCGGAGGAAAATTAAATTTTATTGATTCGGCTTTGGGGATTCTTAGATTTTACAGTGCATACTTGGCATATCTGTGTGTGCATTCAGCAGAAATTATGACTTAGGATAGAGTTAGTTCTCACAGAGTCCACACTAAAGCAGTGTGCCTGGTGTGGAATCAGTGGACACTGACGAGTGATGTACATGTTGCCTTATCCATATCTTGACCAATTCCTTTGGTGAGATTCCTCTTCTGTGCTGTAATGTCAAGACCCAATAACCAAAGTGTCTCTGACTTATCATGTGGAGAACTTCCTTGCCAGCACTACCTGCCTGGTCCGGGAGTGGTGGTGAGGAATCTCTCCACAACAATTGGGAGAAGTCTTGTGGCAATCAGAACTGGAATGTACAGCATTTATATTTATTTATTATTATCCGATTTATACCCCGACCTCCCATCCAAGGCCGGCTCAGGAGAGCTTACAAAAGGATAAAACACGCAGTAAATAATTTAGATAATCCTAAAACAATATGAAACAATTATAACGTTAAAAGGTGCTAACAGTTCATGATAAACCTTCAGTGTACCATCCTCTCAGTCAGCCCATAGGTCTAACATTGTGCGGCTGACACAAGCTGTTTTGATGTCGTCAGGAAACATGGTTCTCTCTCGGGGACGGCTCCTAACTGAAAGCATGGGGTAGGATCTCTTGTATATGGAAGTGTTTGCTGAGAAGACAGGATAATATCTAGACCTTCCCCAAATATCATTCATAGTGTGATCCTATGCAGAGTTACTCCAGTCTAAAGCCATTGATCTCTGTGTTCCAGAGGCACAGTGTTGTGAGCCAATTAATTATCCTTCAGAACATCTGTGGGCTGTGGTTATATATAAGGGAGTATAATTTAATGCTGACAGTGTACTCTGTTAAGTAGAATAGGCAGCAGAAATCTACTCTGTTCCTGATATAGACACGATAGGAATCTTTCCATTACAGGAAATGTTGTCTCCTGTCCTTCCATCCTTGTTGAATTAAAAGTATTTCCCCCCATTTCTTTGGGTGGGATCCCTAATTCATTCAGTCCCACCCTCATATACTTGTCTGGCTTCACATGCTGGAATTTGATGGTCAGAGAGTGAACCTAAAGCTGGCAGTAAATGGGCACTTTCCATGCCAGGAAATTTAGAAATGATCCCACCCAGAATTATAATACAATTGGACTATGTTGAGCTTTTGTCTGTCCTTTGAACTGGGCCAGAATGGGTTAGGAAAAAGGAAGGTTGAGGACTGGAACTAATTTAGACCAGGAAAACCATCTATTTGTAAGATTTGTTCAAATGTGCAGAAGTAGGGCAGCAACCTCCTCTCTTGAATAGGCAGGCCACAACTCCCTGTTGAGTGTGAGAATAGCATCATGCTGTATGAAATGTATGAAATCTTGGCCCTTCCTTCTGAACACTCCATCCAATTCAGCACCCTATCCTGGGTCAGTCTTTTGACACATTAGCCATGGTACCCTTATGGAGCACTTGTGTGGCTTAGTTGTTTTCAGTGTTTCCACCCCTAGCACAGAGGATAGTCTGAGAAGGTAGGGTGATTACTGTTCTTCCCCAAGGGAATTATCCTGCAGGGTGCCATATTGATTCCCATACATTCCATCTGCTTCAGATCTCTATCTGCCTGAAAGCGGCGGGTGAGCTCATCCAAGGATCTGGACTATGGAGTCCTAAGTATGCCCATGTGCAGCGTGGCTCCTCTTGCTCAGCTGCCCATGGCAGAGATGGCTAAATGAGGCAAGCCAGCAAGTAAGTTGGCACATTGCCCCCACCCCCTGCGCTAAGCTGTGGCCAGTCTCAAGAGAGGGCGGTTGTGCACCAGTCCCCACAGTCAGCCCCTCACCTCTGTTCCTTACTGCAGCCTCTATGGTCACTGCTGGAAGCCATCAGCCACCCAGGCAGCTGCACAGTGGTCAGAGGGCCCCTCCAGTGTGGGGCTTGGAGTAGCTGCCCCAGTTGCCCGTAGCTAAGATCGTCAGTGTTCCTGAGCTAAGCTCAAGGTTTGTGTTTTTGATTATTAAGAGCCCTAAACTTCCAGGGTCCAGGATGTTATTGTTCTGTTCTAAACCTGTGTGTTTGTAAATATATACCAATGTCTGTTGTATGAAGTGCCTCCGGTTCTTACTCAGTCCATCATTTATTATCAGACTGGAGGATAAACTAGTTAGGCTGAGAGAATGCAACTTATTCCATCCAGCCATCCTCATGGTCAAGCAAGGCTTTGGATTCTATATTTCCACACCCAAATCCTGCTGACTTTACAGTACTGGCCCCTATCCATAGGAAATGGAATATGTTCCTATTAGCAAGCGGAATTTCACAGCTGTTCTTAGCTACCCCTTGAACAACCATGTCTGCTTTACTCAATAGCAGGATTCTTCTTTACATTTATAGCTCCTAAAGAATTTACCCCCATTTGCTTCACCTGCTACAACTGTCACTGGAAATACTCTGCCAATTACTTTGTCCTCTGGTAGCCAGTGTATTTAATTAAAGCCTGGAAAGTGTTCAGGAATGTTAATTACTTGTCATCAATGAGATGAAATCTGTTGCTTGCATTTGGCTGTGTGGGATATATTTTATTAGCCATGCTCCATAAATGCAGGGTGTGTGCCGTTAAGAACAACTGGTTCTTTACTTTGGAAACACTCAGGTAGGGTGTGTGCCGTTAAGAACTGGTTCTTTACTTTGGAAACACTCAGTGCAAGAAAGTGCTTCTTTTATTGAGGAAGTACAAAAAGTTATGAATTGAACACATCACACACATTTTGTTGAGTCCAAAGGAATACTTTTTGGTTAGGACTGTTTCACTGGTATGGTACAGCCAGGAATCTCTATAGTGTAGCAGAATGCACTTGGCTGCATGCAGCAGTGGCTTCTCAGTACTGCGTGTGCTAGCAGAGTTACAGAGGGACCCGCTTGTCAGTTTCAAACTAATAAGACTCCTTTATTCAAGCAACTATATTCTAGGTAGTATAAATTGAGAGATAGGGATAGAATCTAATCTAACTAGCTAGGATGAATGCAGATGAAGAATGCATGTCCTGCATCCATGGTGGACAAAGATGGATAGCATGTGCTCCTTCTTTGTGTGGGTGAGAGAGAAGGTGTCAAGCCGGAAGGAAGTCTTGTCCCTAAGAATAGCATTCTACTTCAAAGGACAGTATCAGATAGCAGGAAGGAAAGGATGCTCTGTGTGTGTCCTGACCTCTCTGTTTGTCTCTAAATCTATGGTGCTGTCTCTGAAGGCTGAGGCAGGGGACAGTGTACACTCCTGCCCTTCCAACAAGGACTGCCTTTACAAAAGAGTTTTTGTGTTTTCAGACTTCCTCTTCAAGGTCTTTTCCAAATGATATGGTAAGGCTGGTGCCTGCAGTGTTTTGTAATCATTTTTTCCCCTTTCATTCTCAAGAAAATAGTCCATAACGCACAGTGGCTTTATAGGCTTTCCCAACCTGTTCACTCAATACAGTGAGCGAGTAAACCGCAATAAGCATACAAACACAAATCAAAAACCTTAGAAGAGTCATACAGCAAAAGGTTAAATTTTAAAATAACCATACATGTTAAAATACATCAT